TATTAGTTTGAACATCTGCCGCTGCGCTGATAATGTACCAAGTACTTATGAGTAGCGATATTGAATATTTGATCGACAACAGATTTACCAAGCTGTCATTCAAACAGTTTATATATACAAATAAAAAAAATAAAAAAAGGGAAAACATGCCTAAGCTGGATATTGGCTACAGCAGTCAGCTTACTTAAATGGCACAACAGGCAGCTCTCTTTTAACACAGACTTTTAAGAAGGGATGGATGTTTGCTTCAAGTGTTAGGCCAGGTAAGTGAAATTATATTATCTTGCTGTATGTATGTTGTTTTCTTTACATTTTCTGACTAAAAGCAACCAAAAAGCCATTTTAAAGTGGTTAAGAAAATAATATAATAATAATAATCTGCAGGGATCCCAGACCAATACAATTAGTGTGCCTCCTCTATTTTAAAACTCACGAGCCGCCACTGTAGAGATTATTGTTTATATTTATATGTATTTCTCACCAGTATTTCGAGAGAACAGAGTTATAAAGTAATGAAATAATGAATGTAAGTAATGTTTGTGTTGTTGTCGTGATCGCGGGCCGCGCCTCCTGGTTTTTCTTCGTTTTCTTTACGTTTTCTGACTAAAAGCAACCAAAAAGCCATTTTAAAGTGGTTAAGCAAATAATAATTGGCAGGGATCTTGGACCAATACAATTAGTGTGCCTTCTCTATTTTAAAACCCACGAGCCGCCACTCATGGGCTACTTTAAAAAGAATACATTGATTAGCAATGGATTATAAATATGCTTAATTATTATTAAAATACCAGAGATGGCTTGAATAACACAAACTATATTGTCGCAGTCGAGTGTTTATTGTCTGTTTTATCATTCAAAACGTTTATATGTTCCGTTTACTCCGTTACAGCTATAATAGCAATGTCTTTGTCCATATTAGGGTTTTCCTGGAGGGTCACGAGTTCCGCTAGTCTGTGACTGGATATGTGGATTTTCTGTGCGAGGGCGCCCTCTGGCATCCAGTATGAATGAAACAGACATCATGTGTTTATAATGCTAATGGCCAATCCATTATTTTTTGGAGAATTTTTATTTAATAAGTATCGGTTCAGGCATCGTTTAGGCACCGGAACCGTTTTAAAAGTATCGATTTGGCACCGGTATCGAAAAAAAAAAAAAAAAAAACGATACCCAACCCTAGGTATAGCTAACAGGCATGCTTTATGTTCTACATTTCTCAACTTCAGAATAATGCTTACTGTGTCAATCCTTTTACCAAAACTACATAGCATAATTCATTTAAACAAACACTATCCCGTTATACAGAGGTTTTGCAACAGCAGTGCGGACATCCAATAGTGGTCTGAAAGGAAGTGTTGAAACCAATCAGCCTTTAGCCACCATTAGTGGGACACTGAAAGGATGCTCTCTTCAAGATGTACAGAAATAAACTACAGATCAATTGCAATAAGGAACCACTACTGGTAAAAAAAAAAAAAATAATAATAATTTTTAAAGGTTTTTAAAACTTAGAGTTAGCCTAGTATGAAAGGATAAATCAGTATGGCAGCATGTGAGATGAGGGGATAAAATTCAAAAGTAAAATCACACACAATTTTTAACTGGCATGACTTATGGAAAGTACCTGACTAAGGGGAAAAACAAAAGACATGACACTACTTGCAAAACAATTGCATTAAACAGAAATGTTAAAATAGAAATGTTAGAACTAGGGGTGTGAATATCGTCTAATTATCGTTATCGATAAAATCCCAGAAAATATCGAGATATAATTTGTCAATATCGCACACCCCTAGTTAGAACCGTAAAATACAGATAATACGCAAATTTCAAACATTGAAAAGAAAAAGTGAAAGTGTTAAATTTGTTGGCCATCAGTCATTCTTGAGAAGTGGGACAAAACAGGGTGCAAAATTGAAACATTTTTATCCATTTTATTGCATATGAATGATTGAACCCTTCTCTGTGGACACACAGTTTTAGACGTAGTGAGAGGACATTAAGAAACACAGATTTGGTATAATAATGAGAAAATTAAATTGAAGGTGATAATCGTGTTAAATACATACTATTATTAATCCCTCATGACACTTAAAATTGAAAATATTTTAATTTTTTAAAGCTAATAGCAGTTACCCTTGCTGGACCGGTTTTGTCCCACGTCTCAAGAATGACTGCCCTAATCTTCTGGTCCCACACCCACAGAAACTCACTGGATGAAATAATCTGAATTAGTCACAACACCTGCAAAGTCTCTGAAATACCATGAATCAGTAAGCACTTAAACATGATTTTCAGAGACTTTGATTTAACTCCCGACCTCACATCCAGACATATATGAGATCTAAAATTTGTTTAATTTAAAATTTGTGGGTTCATCCTAAAATAAAATAGAAAACAACAGTTTTCCTCGATCGCTGGTGTGCTTTGCCACACCAGGAAAGTCTAAATTTAATTTACCTGCAACAGAAACCAGGGAATAATTTATATCTATTAAAGAACGTGTAACGTTAGCTAACAAAGGGTTAAAGCACAGAGAGTGTTTTACGAATTGAAATATGAATTTTATCAGGTCCAGTTAATGTCCTACATTCAACAACATAGGCGAAACACGAGCCACGACATCAAACTGAAGGTGAGACCAGATTTAACGTAAAAGTTAGCATAGAACACATAAATTAACTAGCCTATAACGTTAGCGTTTTTGAAACCGGCTGAGTTAGTGTACTTTGCTTGGTTTAGAAATAGTTTAATACTTCAAATATTTTTAACAACGTTCAGTTGCTTTAGCATTTTAATGAGATTTGTGAAAACAGCCTAACGTTACCTCTTCCTAGTCTTTTTCCCATGTGAAGGTGATCTCTGTGCACTTTAAAAACGATTAACTCCGACTCAAACCCAGGTGTGCATGTCGACGCCTCCGCATATCCACACGACAATAACTGACAAAACAAAACAAATGAGAAAGAAGCATAACAAATCGAAGACTTAATTTTCCGAAACTGCGTGTCAATGTTCGGCATGTTTACGCGGCAATCAAAAAAAAAATCTTACCTGACAAAGAAAAACGATAACTCCCAATCGTACAATCCTTGCACACGCCATTCGACACGCTAAGGGTCTTGTAAAATCCCTCTGCGTTTTAATCCTTCGAAGTCTTTAAAATGTAACACAACAGTTACTTCCACCGTCTCAACAGCCGCAAATTGAGGATGGAACTGGTCTACAGCAGGTAGTCTATAGCTTTCTGACGCAGCCAGGTGACCTCGCCCATCCGGTAACTACCATGTCCAAATATGGGTATGAATGACTTTTAGACACTCCTATAACACAGGTAAAAAAAAGAAGATTTAGGTTTTCGAAAATCCCCGGATTAGTGAACAACGTGTGAAATATGGAAACTGTTGAAGTGTACGAGACCAGTCGCTTCTCAAAACACCCTAGATAACATCCCACTCAATTCTTTAAAAGACTATTTGTGCAACTGCTGAACTGAAACTCCATTCATGCCTTTAACACTGAAAAATCCCCATGACACAGGCTGTTTTGATGTTGAAATGGATTAGGAGTTATAAATCTGCTGGTGGATTTAAAGACTAGTTTTCTAAAACAGATAGATCAAAATATATTGTTCCCGTTCACAGGAAATTGTTTATAGACTGCACCTACAAACTGGAAACTATAATATGAAAAATAATCATAACATGATAATATAGGCTATTACAAATAAGCATAGTAAAATACCTTGTGTTTAGGCTTGACTCAGTGCAGTCTGCTCATATACAGTAGCTATAGTGCAGTCTTTTCCCAACGGATCCCATTCACATAATATGGTCATGTGAACTCGTATCAGAACAATTTTAGTTTTAGCTTCCAGTAAATCATATTGCACATCTTCCAAAGTAGTTTACTCATTTGATCGGTATTTCTTGTAAACCCTGATGATTTACTTCAAGGCTAGTGATGCAATGATTATGACTTTCATAGTCATCGGGCCCGTTCCCCCCGACAATGTCACAATAACCTCCCTAATAATACCTAATGCTTGCTTTGTATTATATTATTGACCTTCATATTTTTGCTAATTTAACGGATTACTCAGATATCCATTAATTAAGTTTTGCAGGATGAATGTTCATGACCTGTTTTTCTTCCGACATACAATACTAGGTCAAACTGTACTCGAGTTTGGTTCTTCTCACAAAACTCAAAAATATGAATGTTATTCAGCTGACCTTTAAAAACCCTTACAAAGGAACACATTGTATTCTTCATCCTTGAAGAAACTGAGAGCTGTTGAACTAATTGTTATCAGTTCTTGCTTGGCATTAAAGTTGGCTTTAATGTGTCTCTCTGTCTTTGTACTTTGTATAGAAACCCACTGACTTTGTAGCATGACAACAACCAGTCTAACAGAAAAAGCAATGTTTGTAGTGAGGTTATACAGTATATATATGTTTGTTAAAACAAATACAGTTTATAGTTTCAGTGTGTTTCTTCAGTGCACCATATGTGAATTCATTTATCTGAGCACCTAGGAAAGAAGACAATGAATATTTTATTAATCATTTGTTTGGAGTTTGCTTATCTCTGGCTGTAGATAAGCCCCAGAGGACAAATATTGCAGGAGAAAACATTATATTCTCTGAGTAGAATGTGCCCGATGCCTGCATACCATTCCCATACTGAGCCAAAGGCTGTTTGAGTGGTGTATCTTTTAGAAAGAGAGACAAATAGTGTTTGGCATGGGAAACTTTTTTGTTTGAAAATACATCTTCGCTTTGTCTTCACACTTTCTGTTATTAGTTTGATTTAAGTTTGGTTAATAGTAGCTTTGGATTTGAATGTGTGCCTCATTGCCAACTTGATTTCAGTTTTTAGGTCATGACATTAGGTCTAAATACATGCAGTTATTTTGACTGGTTTGACTTTGTTTAGACATATTGTACTAACAAGAATGTGTGTAGCTACAAATAACCAGTGCATATACCTATAGTCTTAACATTCTATTTAAACATGAAAATTAATATGAAATTTTAGAAATTTACAAAAAAAAAAAATGAATATGAATGAAATATCAAATCAAATATGTCAAATCATAACGATTCAAAATAAAAGCATTCTCACAAGGGCAGCCCATAGTATTTTAAGCTGAATCATTGCAATTGAAGAAGGGCTATTTGTTGAGTGTCTGCAGACATGTGCCACTAGTTTCATGTACATCCATAAATAGCATTCAGTGTGAAATCATTTACACTGGTTAATCTGCACAAGGTCAGCAGTGGAGGTCCTATATGATTACGCAGTTCCGTTTTTGTTCAAAAAGACACTGTGCTCTGTCTGCCGGCCACCAGTGGAAATGCTTTTTGCTTTTGTATCATTTACTGCTGTGCTCTGTTAGGAATAAAAAAAAAATTGCCTTTCAGTGTAAAGATAATTCATATTTTAAAACACTCCAAAAGTGGCATTTGCAAGTGTAATCACTTCAACTGTTGACAGATTTGTTTTGAATATAACTAGAATTTTCCGGAAAAACTGTCTAAAGAGGAACCTTTGAATGTTCTCTGAGCTGTGTTATGTGCTTTTATCAAACAAGTTTGGAAATGTTTGATGAGTGTTTAAAGCTGGGCGAGACACTATAAAAAAACTGTGGGGGGTGAGCTTATCTCGCTATGGAGAAACCAGCTCTGCATTACACTATCAAAGCCACTCATCCACTTCAAAGTGCTCTGCTTTGATACTATGACTCTTCCACCCAAATCAATATTTCCTGTGCGAATAATTACGAATGCTATTGTATGCTATTATGAGAGCTTTTAACCAGCGCAATGTACAAGATGTTGCTTATTTGTTAATGGGTATGAACTCTAATAAACTTTGTCAACATGTATTCCAACTCCAATGCTCTCTTCCCCCACGTCACAATGATTGCCCTCCCATGTCGATCAGCCTTAAAAGCCCATCATTATCCAACAAGGGCTTTTAGGCTCCATGAAATGTTTATGCTTGTACAACTTTCGGTATCACATTTGCTTGCGGTGTCATGTCCATAGTGCATCATGACTTGTCTTCCCAGATTTGGAAGAGAAAGCAGCTGCAATGCTGAACCGTTAGATAGCACCTTGGTTTCGCAGCCATAGGACAAGACTGGTCTTGTGTTGCGCCGGGACTTTTGTTACTTAGTAATGCATAAGAGGACCTCCCATCTCCTACCGAGCCTTATAGCTAGAGGCATGTAGTTGTCTTGTGACTTAATGCCTCTGTAGACTAAACACCCTCCCCCTGAGTCAATACTAGTCTGCTCAGGAGCGGAACAATCGTAGACAGTCTGACAGTGCAATTAACAAATAAGGAAGTAGAGCTGACGTTCAGACTTGCGTTCAGGTAGTCTCGACCAAATCTTACTGGAAACAGGTGTGATGTCACAAGGCAGAAACTGAATATATAGGGCTGGCTGTCGTTTCTCAGGGACGGATTTTATGACATCAAGATATTTAGAGATAAGTAATTTGTTTCAGTTTCAAAATCACAGCGGACACTTTTATAATATCCTTGCGGTATGTAGTTTAAAGCTCCAAGTTTATTTGTCATATACACATTTGTGTAAGTGAAAGTAAGTAGTGAAATGACCCAGACTGCACAATAGCCATACACATAAATAGAGATACACTACACTACTTAAATTAAGATTTTTCTATTGTTTTTGAAAAACATCTTATATGCTCACCAAGGCTACATACTTTGATTAAAAATACAGTAAAAACAGCTATGTAAAATAACTGTTTTCTGTTTGAATTAATTTTAAAATGAAATTTATTCCTGTGATGGCAAGCTGAATTTTCAAGAGACATTACTCCAGTCTTCAGTGTCACATGATCAGACATCATTTTAATATGCTCATCTGGTGTTCAAGGTTAATTTCTTATTATCATCAATGTTAACCCATTTAAGCCCACCGGCAACTATAGTTGCCGCAGTTTATAATTGTCATTTTCCTTTTGTAAGTATTTTTCTAGATGTTATCCATGTTTTATTTCTCAATGACATGCAAGCAAACAACCAAATAAAGGATTTCAAGAAAAAAAAAGGTATTCACTTCCTTCCTGTCACATGAGGCTTTCAAGTTCCTACCCCTACTTCCGGGAAGCATGTGCAAAGGCAAACCCTCCCAAAGAAATGTAATTTTCATGTTACTAATAAGTATTTTTTGTTGACATATATATATATATATCTACATAATCATGAAGGTCTCTAGCATCATCCAAACAAAACAAATCTTCCAGGAGATCTATAGTTATTTGTATACTTATTCAAAAGTCCAAGCGGCAACTATAGTATAACTAAACATAACTTAACCCTTTAACTGACATCTCTACTGTACAGTAGACCTTAATTTGATAGGGAATAAACCTGTCAAAAGGAGGAGATGAGAGAGCAATCTTTCCACAGCTCTGCTACCCCACCTCTCTGTCTGCTTTTGCATGGGCGGTGGGAATTTCCAGTTTTCAAGTGACAGCAGCAGTTTACAAACTTCCGTCAGTCACACAAAAGGAAGAATGTAAAGATAAAGAGCTAAGGCATGGGATTAATTGCTGTAGATTATCTTTTTTCTCCTTTTATGACATGTAAGGGGCAAAATATTGAGGCCCCTTTATCCAGTTTGGATGTGTTTCATTCTAATTGGCCAAGTACCCTAATTCATTTTATAATTAGTAGCTTATGATTCCATTATAATGTTGAAATTCAGACAAGTAATGAGTTTACATTTACATTAGTATATGAAATCACCTACTACAGTCAACCATTGAATACTATGGGCCTAAAAAAATGCGTAGAAAATTTATTTCAGGTATACCTTTTTTATATTATATAGATGTAATATTTTCTTCATTCAATTTATTTTTATTTAACTAACACACCTCTAAGAATGAAAATACCTGCATCTTCAATAATACGTAAATAAACAAACAAACATAAATAAATAAACAAACCAAATATATAAACAAATAAATATAACAACAAATATAATATATAAACAAATAAATAAACAAACAAAATATTTAAATAATCATATATTTGAAAAAGAATATCATTAATTTCATGAATATCAAGGACTTTTGTCAGGGTTAATCCATTTGACCTAATCGATATGTGCCTATTCATGAAATATGTGATATTTTATATGTTTACATCACAAAGTATAGCATGCAAATACGTTTATGTAAATTTATAAAACTACTTGTACCTTCACTGCAGTACTCCATGTAGGCAAAAATA